GGCCTAGACCCTTCATCTGATGAAGGGTCTAGGCCCGAAACGTCAGCCTCTCTGCTCCTATGATGCTGCTTGGCCTGCTGTGTTCATCCAGCCCTGCACCTTGTTGTCTCGGATTCTCCAGCATCTGCAGTTCCTACTATCTCTGCTGGAGAAACTCAGCAGGTCTGGCAGTGTCTGTAGAGAGAAACAAAGCAAATGTTTTGAGTCCAATATGGCCCTTTTTCAAAACCGCTTCAAACTTGCAACTACTATAAACTACTGGCAATGCAGATGGTCATTCATCGACCCCTCATTCATGTTCTGTCTCCTCCACTCACTGTCCCAGTGAGATACATTTGGGGCAACAAGGTAGTGCTGCTGAGAAGCTGATCCTGACTAAGACATGGAATGCAAGGAAGTAGTTGTGGACCTGATGCTGCTGGGCAGAAGTTTAGGAGATGTTAGTTTCCCTCTCTAGAGACTGAAGTCTTGGCCAGCCTGCCATGAAAGTAAGAATACTGGCACATGTGGGGACATGTAGCAGACTCAGAAGACATGCAGCAGTCAGCTGGGATTGATTCCAATTTTATACATTACAGCACCATTCAGAGAATAATACACGTTAATGCAGTAATTCTTGGAGCACCTGGCAGCTCCAGGAACATCTGCAAACATTCCACCGTATGTAAGGCCTCCAGGCAAATTGATTCCAGTGTGGTAATGCTGACTACAGGTCAGGGGAATGGTTCAGACAGATTAATACCTATGGATTCTGCACCAACCAGGGCAGCACCTCAGGCTTAAATGAAATTGAAGATAAACTGTCATGGAATTCAAAGGCAGGTTTTGACTTGGTGCAACAGTGTGAAAATGAAAGATAGTGAATCAGCAACTCATTTTACCCCGTCCATAATTTATATTTTCACATGTCAAAATCTTAGGAGTCTTAAGTGAATTTATCACATTAACACAAAAAAAGAGCAGGAGTAGGCCATTCAGCTCCTTGTGCCTGTTCAACATTCAAAGATCAAGGCTGATCTGACTGTAACCTCAAATCTGCATTCTTGTTTACCCATAAGACCATAACATATAGGAGCAGAGATAGGCTAGTCAGCCCATCTAGCCCATCATTCAATGAGATCCTGGCTGATTTGATTTAATTTGAAATCTGCATTCCTGCCTAGCCCAATAACTTTTTACCCCCTTGTTTAACATGAATCTGTCTACTTCTGTCTTAAAAATATTCAAAGGCTCTGCTTTCGCTCCCTTTAAAGGAAGAGAGTTCCACAGATTGACAACTCTTGGAAAAATAATTGCCTCATCTCTGTTTTATAAGGGCAACTCCTAACTTTTAAACAGTGATCTCTAGTTCTAGTTTCTCTCATAAGAGGAAACATTCTCTCCACATATTCCCTGTCAAGACTTTGCAGTCAGTTCTTCCACAAATGTTAACCTGTATCTTTTTTACTAGTACCAATGAGATTTCAGAATCTTCTGAAAATGAGTCATACTGGACTCAAAACATTAACTGAGTTTCACTCTCCACAAATGCTGCCAGACCTGCTGAGTTTCTCCAGCATCCTCAGTATTTTGTTATCAATTCATTGGTTATGAACCTGTATAAGGGCTAGAAAATCAAAGCTGGTTGTCAAAAATCAGCACATTTTACAAGGAAATGCACTCTGGCTGCAGACAGCAGTGAAATTTCCCATATTAAAAAGAAGTACAGGAGATCTAGACAAGACACTTAGGTCCTCTGGGGTTGCATTGCAGGATATTTAGGCAGTGAGCGTGAGTCAAATTGGACTGAACTTTTCCACATTAAGATTTTTTTCTGGATGGCAGGATACTTTTCAGGTCATGAACTTGATTGCCTCTGTAGTGGGACAGCAGGTACAATCTTCTGATAGGTATCCCATTAAGAGGGTTTTGTCGGCACCCCAGTCCAATTGGGAATGGCAAGTGAGATAAGGAGGTGACTATGCAAATCAGCACACTCAATTGTGAGTGAGGGTGACTTGTAGCCTTCATTGTGCCTGAAGGGAGATGGCTGCTGAGATGAATGGGAGGAGAGAGGGTTCAAATAAAACAGAGAGGTTTTCCTTCCAACTCCATTTTCCTCTCCCTACCTTTCCCTCACTGTTGGTGTTACTGCATTACCCAAAATGGGCTCAGTATGTAGATTGAATAATTTGGAACACAGCTGATTTACTGGTGGAGGTTAATAGGTGAAAATTTGCACAGGTGATTTGGTGGTGGGAAAAACTGTTTGGTTGTGTGTGATAGCACTTTTGGATGTAAAAAAGAAGTAAGTAAAGGCGTGAAACAACTGGAGCAGCCAATAAGTTACCAGGCAGCACTACACATCACACTTCACATCAGCTCTGACTCGAAACGTTAGTTTGTTCTCTCTCCAGGGATGCTGCCTGACCCGCTGTAATTTCCGGCAATTTTTGTTCTCACCAGGTGGTACTATCTGAGAATGCATTTTCCAAGAATAATTGTTTGAAAGCCACTCCATGCAGATAACCTCGGCCTTGCCCTTTTGTGTCTTCATAGTTCTGGTTACATATTATTTTCATAGCAGTTCCACCTGCTACTGTGCACTGAGTTCCCATAGATAGATGACCTGCAGACACTCCAGCACATCATTGAAAAAAGTTATTTCCCTCACAAAATGCCTGCTATTTGCTTGATTAACAACTTCAATTGGTTTTACACTGTTGCTGTGGTTCACTGAAGCCACCTCTGGCAAAGACGGGATATATCGTTATTCAGGATTGATGACATTTTTCTAATTTTCCTCGGCTTGAGGAAGAATCTACAATAATGAGTGATACATGTGGCAAGAGCTCAAGCAAGGGAATAGGATGCTACAGGTACCAGCTCACCAGAGGACAACAAGATGGTGCACTAGCTCTACCTCACAATTGCTGACCTTGAGGACCCAGGCCACTGAATAAGGTTAGTGGACGCACATCAAGAAAGTCAAGATGCATTGACGATCAGCCAACTTGTATAAGCTAGGAGTACAGCTTGAACTTCTGTCATGGCCTCCATGGAGCATGGAAGCCGTTCTGCCCAACATGGGTTGAGTGGTCACCTCCACAAACATGCATATAAGCTGTACATTGAGGGAATGAAAGCCTTTCCAATTCCTAAAGATGCCAGGATAATAATGAGTTACACACAAGGTAACGTTAGTATTGTATATGGAGTAGGGAATCTACGCACCATCGCTGCCAGCTATATTGGGCACTTAGGTACTCCTTACATGGCTGAAAAACAAGCATGGTACCAACAAATTTCTAAATCAAATAATTTCTTTGTATTTGTTTTGCCCATGCTAATGAAATGTTCTGATTTCTGGCATTTAATAATTATGATTACACATTAAAAAGAAAAGAAATGGTTACCTTTTTTCAAAGTACCAGCTCTGGCAATTGGAGAGTCTTGTTGGATATCCTCAATAATGATGCCTCCATCATTTGTATTGGTGAGGGTAAGTTCTTCTGACAAAGCCCCAATGTTCCCAGGGAGAGTGACTCCTGCCTTGCTGTCGAAGCTGAAGTTCTAGTTTTAGAAGAAAAATCACACCTAAGAGCTTGGAATGTTCTTTACATAGCCTAGAATTCATCTACAGATTTTGATTGAATGGATAGATTTAATTCTAAAGTATTTCACCGTTTCGCATTGAATGGGAAGTGTTTTTCCCAGTTCATAACATCAGTGAGTGCAAGGTTAGGGTGAAAAACTCTCTACAAGATACCTGCTCTCATTCCCATCTTTCCATTCCAACAGTCCTACAACAAAATAAAGAGTGAACTTGGTGCTTATTTCCAGTCACTTTATGTTCATGTTTTGGCTGGGTAAGTTAATGTTTTGTTTGCTTCCTAGTCGATTTATACCCTGTTACAATGAAGGAGCATTAAAGGCAGGATGGCATGAGACTCAGAGTGGAACATGAAGGTGCTATGTTCCCTTTCTCACACTATCCTTGTCCTTTAGGGATGGAGGTGCTGTCAAAAATATCTTGGAGAATTACATCACTGCATCCTGCGAACATTACACACTGATAACCAAGGTACACCAGACAATGAAAGATCCCACTAAAATGAGGTTAATTGGTGTGAAAATACATTTTCTAACATTAATAGGTCAGTAAATTTATAAGCCAGAGAGATTTTGTTATCAAGATAAAATTGGAGAGGGGATGAAACATCAAAAGTATCAGAATTTCCAGTCTAATATACAAGCTCACATCATTAAACATGTAAAAGTGATTGTTTTATGAAAGTCAGTTGCTTACCATTTTGTCGCCTCAGTCACTGCTTTTCCAGTGGAAATCCCTGCAGACAGAAAAACAAAGTGAAAATCTTGTACATTCTACAATAACAACACCTCACTTTATTTGATTCTGCATTGAAATTTCTCCCTGTTTGCCTGAAGGCATTGATTTATTCCCTGTGCACCATTTTCTTTGCCAATGAGGCTAGACAATACCTATTGCCAACCAGTCAACTGGGAATATCTCATGTCAGTCCAAAGTTTATAAAAGATTTTAATTAACATAACACCAGATGTTTTTGCAGAAAGTTTGCAACTGATGGATTGAGTCTTCTTCCAATCCCTGGCCACGGCCCTTGGCTTTGCTTCCACTGTTTAAGTCATGTTACCTGCTTTCGTTTACATCATTAGTGGGAGGCAATACTTTGTGATATTATCACTAGGCTATTAATCCAGAGACCCAAGCAATGTTCTGGGGACCTGGGTTCAAATCCTCCCAGCATGGCAGATGGTAGAATTTGAATTCAATAGAAGTCTGTAATTAAGAGTCTAATTATGATCATGAAACTGGTGTTGATTGTTGGGGACAAAGCCATCTGGTTGTAGAGGTATACAGCACAGAAACAGGCCTTTCGGCCCAGCTCATCCATGCCGACCAATTTTCTTAAATTGAGCTAGTCTGATTTGCCTGCGTTTGGCCCATATCCCTCTAAATCTTTCCTATCCATGAACCTAGCAATCATCCTATGTTTTAATAATCCATTCACTAATATTCTTTAGGGAAGGAAGCTATTGTCCTTACCTGATTTCACCTACATGTGACTCCAGACCCGCAACAATGTGGTTGATTCTTAACTGCCTTTTGGGCAATGAGGGATGGGCAAGAGGTGCTGACTTAGACAGTGACACCCATTATCCCGTGAATTAATAAAAAAAAACCGTGCCTCTCAGTTTGTTAAAGCATGTTTCAAATAGGAACTTAGAAACAAAGAAAATCTATTGCAGAGAAGAAGGTCTTTCAGACTGTCATGTTCTTGCAGCCAAAGTAGGAGTTAGCCACCCTAATCACAATTTACAACTCCTGGTCCATAGCCCTGTAGATCACAATTTTTCAAGAGATTTTTAATTGTCTGCCATCAATCCTCTTTTCCCAAGGATTATTTAGTTGAACCCTTAATATCTCCTCTTAATCGAAGTCTTCAATTCTTCCAACGAGATACAATGGGATTTGGGAATGAGTTTCGAACAGGTTTACCACAGAAAAAAAAAACTCAGGTTTCAGTAAATTTCTCTCCATCAGCAGGCAAGATCGCAATAACTTCAATAACTAGTCCATTTTCAGAGTAGATAAGGTGTCTGTTTGCCTTGAGAAAATCTCTGACAGAGAGAGAAAGAAATAAAGGATACAGAAGTTAAGATTGCGCAACTGTACCAACTAGATAAGCGTATCTAAAGTTACTCTGTAATCAGATGATGTAAGATCAAAGCCAATTGGTTTATCCCCAGTAATGAGAATAGGAATGTGAAGTTGTCCTGGAATAGAGGATCCAAAAGGAAAACTCTATGACTCTTAAGTCCTCAGGGAACAATGTAATATTTCATGGTCCACCAGGAGGCACCACCACACTGCCTACACTCGCTGTGGCTTGCTGCCTATTAAAGTATTAAAACCGAAACAACTGCGGATGCTGTAAATCAGGAACAAAAACAAAGTTGCTGGAAAAGCTCAGCAGGTCTGGCAGCATCTGTGAAGGACAAAATGGACCCAAAACATTAACTCTGTTTTTTCCTTCACAGATGCTGCCAGAACTGCTGAACTTAAAAGTATAAGTGTTTCAGAAAATACAAGTTTTGGCAATAATTATCAGTTAAAAACGAAAGTACAATCATATTCTTTTGAAAAAATGTCATTACCCTAAAATAACAACTTGGATTTTCTAAGACATATGACTTCAACATGTTTACTACCGATGGCATAAAGCTTACTAATGATCGAGGAGAATGTTGACGAGCAGATGGAATTTAATGTTTTAAGAGGTGATTCAGAAGATAGAGGTTTTTCAGGAAGACAGTAGCAAGGTGAAAGCTGAAGTGGTTTTGATAAAGTATCCAGAAGAGCTCAATGGTTCTTCTTATGAGTTGCTGATTGATAAGTCTCTATTAGTGGAAAGGAAAGAAGAGGATAAAAGCAGTCATTGAAAGGTTTTCTAATTCTCCATCCCTAGTTGACTTTGAATTGAGTGGCCTGCTTGGAGATTTCAGAGGCAGTTAAGAGTTGGCCACATTGCCTACGCGTGGAGCCATGTGTGAGTCAGACTGAGTAAGGACGCTGCTTTTCCTTCCCGAAAGGACATTAGTGAACCAAATGGTTTTACAACAATCAAAGATAGTTTCTTGGTCACCATCACTGAGACTAGTCTTCAAATCCTCAATTCCATTTCCTCCATTCAGAGGACTGGAGGCACTGAGTAGGGTCTAGAACTTGAAAAGATTATTCAGTTCAGGTGCAGTGAGAGTGTGATGGAATTCAAGAGGGAGGACAAGAATCTTGAACTTCATGCTAACAGAGCTTGAACAGCAATTTTCTGTTTGTGCCATTTTTCTGCACTATAGAGTAGGTTGATATCAGTCCTTTGCATTTAACACAGCCTAGAATATTTCTTCCTTCGTGTAGGTCATTGTGTTTATTCTGCTGTTAAATGACTTGAATATTGAGTAAAATGTTAAAGATTATATCAATGAAATAAAAGTCTAGAATTTTAATTCCCCTGATAGCCAAACAAGTGTGTTCATAACTGAGGTGTGCAGAACACGGAAGGCCCTCAGTTTGATCCTGAGTTTACAGGGAGATAATTACCATTCTCAGCTGGATGTGGGCACAACAATTCATCTACATGGCTGCAGGTTAAGCATGGCTTCATGGTTACAATCTTTTTGCACATGCTAGGAAAGAGTATTTGTGCAAATGAGGAGAATCTTATACTTCATGGTGTAACAGCCTTCCATTAGTCACTATAAATATTCAGAAGGTTTTTTTTCCAAAACTGTGATTCCTCCAGAGGAAAAAGATACTTCTCTCATTTCCTCTTTGTGGGTTTCTCCAGAACCATCGGAAGAGGGCCTCAGCTATGATCATTTTGAAACTGGCTTCTTAGAAGTGTATGACAGCAATGTAAAGATGAGACCTTACTGTATGATGGAAAAAAAGAAAGACTGGCATTTATATATAACATTGTGGAGCTGGAGGATCAGAAAGGGTCTTTTTCTGAAGAACGGTCCCAACCCAAAACGTCAACTTACTTGCTCCTCTGATGCTGCCTGGCCTGCTGTGTTCCTCCAGCTCCACACTGTGTTATCTCTGCCTCCATCATCTGCAGTTCTTGCTATTTCTGACTGACATTTATATAGTTCCTTTCATGTCATCCTAAAACACCCTACAGTCAATTAATTACTTTTGTTGTAGTTTTCTCCTTTCAGGCACTCCTAAGCTTCTAATCATCTGACATTTGCTTCCATGTGTGCCTTGGTATCATATTTGTCTTTTATTAAATGAATTGCTTGAGATGTGATATTACTTTAGTGGTGCTAAATATAAATATAAGTTGTTTCTGTATAGTCATTGTTGTACCACGGGAAGCATGGCAGCCCATTTCTGTATAGCAAGCTCCAATAAACACTAGTTTGATAAATATTGACCAGGAACCAGTTGGCAAGTGTTCTGTAGCATTGAGTTTGAGAATGCTAATCAAGTTTCACTAGAAACAGTAACTGCTGAAAATCTTCACACCATGCTTTCAGATTTACTAACAAGCTAAAGAAGATGTCATCTATGAGAAGGTTCTGAGTGCTATTACTTAGTGAATCTAGCAGACTTGCACCCCACTGCGCACACCAGCATGATTCTAACTCACAAATATTTCCAAACTTTCATGGTATTTAAATTCATGTAAAGCAGTGCAAATCAGGCCAACAACAGCTGATTCTGCAATACCAACTTCGGACAAGAATTAATGCATATTTATTTACATTGATGATCTAACTGCATGAACTGTTGCTGTTGCACTGGAAATACCAGTTTATTATCAGTGTTCTTGTTGGTGGTGAACTATTTTGCCAGTTTCACACTGCCCTGTACTGAGGCAAATTAGTGTTTGCAACCCTCTCAGGGCTAAGCAAGTAAAATGAGGAGCTGTTGTCCTGCATTTAGTTTGTAACATACAGTGACTTTCTTATAAAGCAGGGTTAAACAATATGGAGAACCGGAAATTCTGCACATGTAAATGTTGGGTCCATACCTATGTTCATCTGTGAAGAATTGGTCAGACAACATTATATCATGGTATTAATGTAATGAGAGAGATATTGGGAACACATTCCAGCACAGTGAGGTTAAGCTGCGACTTGATTACATTACCAGAAAATGTGATGTCACCACTGGAGCAGCCAGCAAGAGGCAATGAGCGACAGCCTTCAAAACTGCCTAACTAGATTAAAATCCAGCAACTTTAAACAGTGTGGTTAGTCTGAACATGGGAAACTAATGGACAAAAACAATAAATAAGCCCACTGCCTTTATATTAGCCAGAGGTAGGCTGTTCTTCCAGCTGTTTAGTTGACTAGGAAAATTAAGTGAGGTGTATAACATCTGACCCAATATCACTTGTTTCACATATTGCTGAAAGCAAAATTGATTGCTAATTATTACTGGGATACTAGGATGAGCATGCATTGATATAAGGCACATTTGTGTATTGCTAATATGGAAACTGCACTATAATTGACCTAATGTAGATACATTGCTGTCCAAATTATGAAGCACAACTGGAACCAGATGATCAAAAGAAATGAGATGTCAAATTATGACTGTACCAGCCTAGACTTTCTGATTGGTGTTAATTAACTGCCTCTGTTAGCCTATTATGGTTAACACTGATGTTAAAATAATGATGATAGCTAATTCAGGGTACTGACTTGTGCGACCAAATGTGCCCAAGAGTGCTACAAATACAATTTGGTCTAGTTAGCTTTGAGCCAAGCTTGTTCCTAATGCCCAGAAAATATT